GCGGCCCGCACAAAGATGTACCTGGCGCCCATATTGAGATTCCTCGGGCCGCTAGCAGCTCATCCAAAAACGATGCATGTGCCAGTATTGCCCCCTCCACATTTCCCTTTCTCCCCTCAGCCCCTTGCATTTCTTCGCCTCTCATCGTCAATCCTCTCCTGCCCTCCACTCTCCCGATCCTCTTCTCCGCCCTCACTCCCCTCCCCCACTCCTTGCTTGCCGTATCTAGAGGGCGGCGGACAGGCACGGCAACCAGCCACGTCTTAATGAAGCCTCAGTCCGACCGACTTGCAGCGTTCGAGCCAGATCTGGTCGGGGCCTCCCCTTCTGCCAACTGCCGCTGAGGTTGAGGAGGGATGAGCAAGCCTCGGGGTGAGAAGGGAAGGGGGGGAGGAGTGATGACGATTGATAAGTATGATGCTGATGACGATGATAAAACTATTAAACGTGACAATGGTGAAAACATGAAATGTGACGATTGCTACTGCTTCGCTCGCCAAAAGCCTTTTCAGCTCAGAGCTGGCATTGGGGCTGGGGCCCCAGCGGGCCTCGCATGTGGAGACCAGCCGCCCAGCGACAGCGGGAGGCCGGATGTGAACTCTTGCGCTATTTGCTCACGCTGCACTCCACGTGCAAACTAAGCGCCAAGGACCTATGCACGATTTGCTACTACACAAACTTGGCAGGCATCCAGGGCGGAGACTTCGCCCGATATGCAACATCGCCTGATGCGCCCACAGGAAATTTTCAAAGACACCTCGACACTGTGATGCAAGATGACACCCCCTTGTTTACAGTTGCAGTGCCATTGAATTTGGGCAAACGAGAACACAGAGTCATCTGCGACGTGCCCATGAGCGCATTCTGGCAGACACTGGAGACCGAACTCGCTTGCGATACCACTACAATGGACCTGTTAGAAATGCCGCGTGCCCAGAGGCCGCCAACGGTGCTGGACGTGCCAGCATATGCAAGCCATCCAGCTGTCTTGCAAGCTCGGAGAGACAACGAGTTGGATCCCATACCTGTTGCTGTGTACGTGGACGGGGTCCGATTCATAACGCAAGCGGCGGGGCGTTCAGAGTCCGTCCCCGGCATCTGGGGAATCAACCTCCTGAGTAACAAGCGCCACTTTTTGGCCCCGCTGAAAAGTGGCGATTACTGCACTTGCGGGTGCCGCGGCTGGTGTTCGATTCAACCTCTTCTTTCGGCAGTTCAATGGCAGTTGGCCCACATGCAACGAGGCGAGCGCCCCGCTCGCCAATATGACGGAACTGCTTGGGGCGCGCAGAAGTGGATGGACAGCGCGCCCACGTTATCGTGCCGAACTGTTCTCCTTTACATCAAGGGGGACTGGAGTGAGCACTCCCACACTATGGGCTTGGCGTCGTGGGCGTCAAAGTACGCCCCTTGTCAGTACTGCCACGCCACGAAAGAGGAGCTGCGCGACCTTGACCTGCACGTTGGACCTGGGCCGCATTGGCTGCTCAAGTCGCACGAAGACTACGAGATGGCCTGTAGAGCTTGCGAGATCAGCGTCCACGTCGCCACGCCAGACCACAGGAGCAGCTTGATCAGAGCCCTGCGCTCTGAGAAGGCCAAGAAGGAGATCGGGGGCCGCCTCATCAAGGGCGACGTCTCCATCAACGGGGTGAACTTGACAAAGGGCGACCGCCTCGAGCCGAGCAGGGCGCTGCCTGACATCTACGGCCTCGAGGGGGCAGCCTTGCCCATCACAGTGACTCTGTGGCGCCCTCGGCGCGGAGATAGGGATGGCAAGGTGATCGACTCGGTGAGTCACAGATGCCCGTTGTTTTCAACTGAACTCCACACCTCGCCGCACTCCACCCTTGCCGTGGATGCCCTCCACACGATGTTTTTGGGGCCAGTCATCCGGTTCATATCGGCAGCGCTCTGGCGAGTGTTGCTCACCAACCCGTGGCGAGTGCAGGGCGATCTGGATTACGTATTGGACACTGGCATCAAATGGATTCAGGGGGACATGGGGTCCTGGCAGGATCGGTTCAACATCCCGTTGGAGCGCAGGGTCAATTACATCACCCTCAAGATGATGGGCAAACGGAAGGGCCACACACTTCAGGACACCGATTTTTATGTTTATGCATGGCGGCAGTCACGACAAAAGCGAAACGAATAGATGAGAGATAAAGGTAGAGGAGGAGGGGGAGGAGGCAGAGGAGGAGGAAGAGGAGGAGGAGGAGGGGGGGGAGCTCGAGGAAGGACAAGGCCTGGGAGAAAAGAAGATGAGTAGGAAGCCTGGATGAGTAGATCCCAACCCCTTGCGTCATTTCCAGCCCCGAGACACGAGGCCATGTGATGCCTGATCCGAAACCATCGGCCCTAGCACAACAACATGCGAGCACAGGGTAAGGAGCAACACGTGGTCATGGTCGTTGTCGTCCTCCTCCGTCGCGCCCTCTCCCTCATGGTCGTCGTCTGCCCCCGTCCCTGCTCCATCTCGTCCTGTGCCCCCGCTCGCATCCGGATCCCCCCCCCCCTTGTGCCCGAATGCCCCCCCTGCGAGCCTTGGAGACGGGGGGCGAACGAATCCGCCATGTCCCAATCGAGAGACCTATGAAAGCGTTGGATGCCTCTCCCGACCCTCGCTGGAGCTGGGCGGGCACGCCGCTCGGACTCGTTTGACTCCCTGTGCCTCGTTCTCTCCCCCCCGCCCTTCTCCTTCCCCCATGCCCGTCATTTACACAGCACTGTGCACCTTCGTTGGCAACGTTGCACCCATCTTCTCAGGGGGGGGGATCAACCGCCAAAGAGAAAATACGGGCTCGGGATATTCTTCATCCAGGAGGCCACATGAACCTCAAAGCAGCAGAAGCTTCCACACTCCTTGCGTTTGCCACGTCAGAGGTCGCCAAATATGGCGGCGCGGCCGTCTTTGGGTATGCACTCCTGGGAGCGGGCGGTTCATTGCAGACGATTGTTGACAAACTCAAGGTCAGCCCTGTCCTCCCGCCCGCAAATGTGATGCGTGAGATCATGACTGCCCTGGACATGCACCTGCTCTCCACGGTTGCCGCGGGGATTGCACTTACTCCCAAACATCATCTTCTCGCACACATGCTGCAAAGGAGCGAGGGGGGGGACGGAATGGGACGGCAGTCTCTTCGCATGGATGGATTCGCAACGAAGTTCTCGACGAAACCTCCCCTGGGCCCCTGGGTGGGAGGAGGAAGACGAACTTAGAATGCATAGTATACAAGGTGCGGGGTAGATCAGACCTGGTTCTCGAAACCCATCCCCCCCCCCTAGTATACAAGGTGGGGGGTAGATCAGACCTGGCTCTCGAAACCCATCCCCCCCTTTCTCCCAAAATCTAGCGGTGGCGAGCATGACATTTCTGATGTTATTCTGTTTGTGCGGATACCCCAGGATCCCGCTGCAAGGTACTCCGAAACATTATCATTGTTTCTTGGACGAGTCGCTGAACTCGGCGTTGAGAACTATTGCTCAACACTGCCATCGATTAAGCTTCCCCCGCAGAATTTTCAGGCTCATCGATTTGAGGTCTAAGCTGGTCAGGGGCGATTTCGCGGCCAGAGGGTCATGGCTCCCGCTGGTGGCTGGCGATATGTTGTTATAATCAGTTTCTTTCTCATTGGCGTTTCCTCGGCGGCTGGTGGGAGGGCCGATCCTGTCCCTTCGAATTCAGAGGCATTCCGGTGGGCAGTTTCCAGAGCAAGGCTGATTCGCGAGAGAGGTGGGCCCACCAGTTTCGAAGATGGGCGACAGCAATTTCTGAGTGAGATCGTGAGGGCGATTTCTGACATGCACGCCATTCCTCGTACCACAGCGTTTGTTGAGATATTTTCAGGGGTTGCACGCTGCGCTCGTGCTGTGCGTGATCGAGGCCATCGGGTTTTTACATACGATATGCTGGACCATGAATGGCAGAACGTAGTTACGCTAACTGGCTGCTTATATATAGTGTGGATATTGTCCTCTATATGCCCTGGAGGCGCGGCGTGGTTTGGGCCCCAATGTTCAACTTGGATAACCATGTCGCGGGGGCATACTAAGCGAACCGATCGGGACCCCTACGGCACCGAGACACGACAAGACGTTCGGGAAGCTAACTGGACAAGCTTGCTGCTGTACCCTGGGGCCCCTGTCCAAAGAGGGGCGGCAGAGAGGTTGAGCTGAGAGTCAGCAGTGGGATGCGAGTGAGTGAGAGTCTGCATGGAGGAAGGGGGGGATACGTCAGGGGGTAGATTGAGAGACATCCCCATCCTCCTCCTCCCCCCCCCTCCTGCCTCCTCCTCCTCCTTCTCATTCGCAGCAGCTCTGAGCGCCGCTTGAGGCCCGTCCTCTTCCTCCCCTACTCCTACTTCTGTACCGATTCGTCCTCCTCCTTCTCGTCCTCCTGCCCCTCTTGCATCATGCCCCCGTCCCCAGGAACTCCAGGGCCCCTACCCCCATGGAGCCCCCCCCCCTCGCCCCGCTGCATCCAGAGCAGCCCTCAAGAAGCTCCATGCAGGCTTCAAAGCTGCACTGAAAACTGAGGGGGGCGGCGGGTAGCTGGATGCCTTCTCGATTGCCGCTCGTCCACAGCTAATGCCGCTGGCCAGCGAAACAACGGAGATGAGGGATGGCATTGAGAAGACTCTCCCCACAACTGTTTCCCTCTTTCTCACTCTCTTTACCTTCGCCCGTTCTCACATACCCTCTCTCTCTATTCCTCCCTTCTCCCCTCCATCCCGCCTTCCCTCCCTCGGTCCTTATCCCTCTCTCCCTCTCTCGCTCACCCTCTCTCTCTCTCTCTCTCTCTCTCTCTCTCTCTCTCTTTCATTCCCTCTCATGCTCTCTCCCTCTCTCTCTCTCTCTTCCCCACTGTTTGCTCTCCTCCTGCCGTCCCTCACTATCCCTCCCTCCCTCTCTCGTTCGTTCTTTCGCCACCCCGTACCTCGACCCTCCGACGCATGCAGGGGGCTGGCATGAGTTGGAGAGAGCGCGCATGTGCCCAGGTCAGTTATCATACCATTCTGCAACATGCGCTCCGTGCGGGTGTTCGTTGAGCAGCCCCTGAACTCGACTATCTACCGCACTGCCGAGATCATGCAGGCGTTTTGCCTGGTGAACGCTCGGAGGTTCGTGACCAACCTCGGGGCCTTCGGAGCGGCCACCGTGAAACCTATCGAAGTATGGTGCACGTTTTCACCCTCGCAATTTGGCCCGCTCGTGCGCGCCAGGCCCCTTGCTTTTCAGCGCCTCGGCCCAGGGTACAAAGAACTCTGCGTGCCCATTCCCCGCAAGAAGCCCAGCGGGAAGAGGGTCTCTGTTGTTCGCAAGAAGCCATGCGGCTCCTTGAGTAAGAAGCCAAGCGGCCCCTTGAGTAAGAAGGCCACGGGCCATAATTCGTACGGCTGGTCCAAGACGGGGTGGGTTTCGGGGACTGTCCAGAATGGGACCCGCCAGAAAGCTTCCTCGGCGTACCCCGTGGAGTTTGCAGAGGCTGTCGCCTCCGTGGTAATGAAAGCATTGCCGCGGGACGAGGTTGAGGCCACGCGCCTCTGAGATATCGGATGGAGGAGGACATGGGAGGGTGGGAGAGAGAAGCAAGCTAGATGTGGAGAGGATACTGCAACATACAACTCGCCCGTGCATGCATGCCTGTATGCTTCCCCGCATGTTCCCACCAGACGTCGTGGGCAACCATAGCTTCTCGTGGTTCTTGATGCGCACGTGAGTCGCGACGTGATGAAACATCAGTCGCGACGCCGTTTCGGGCCAGGGCCCAATCCGGCAGCGTGCCTGGAATCCCGCGCGCGTGTTCGTATGAAGTCGGGCCCAGCAAATTCTCGCATCTTTCAAATTCCATCGCATTTTCCAATGCATTGGATTTTGCGTTGGATTTTGCTGGGCCCCACTCCTTACGAGAGCCCGCGCGGGAGTCCAGACCTGATCCGGCAACGATTAGTTTCTGAAAGGCTGGCCCCCCCCCCGCCAAGCTTTTGGGTTCGATCTGACGCAATTTGATTTTCAGCCCTCGGCCGAGTTTGAATAGTCCATTGCATTTCAACAGGGCCTCGGAGGAACGCCAGATGAAATTGATAAGGGCCCTGGGGGCAGGGGGGAAGGGCTGGGGTCAAGAGAGCAGGGGGTACGTCGAAACCAATCAGGCCCCCAGTGGCCCCAGGAGAGGGGGGCAGCCACTCTGGCTCGAGTTCTTTTATCAGCAGCGGATTCGATCGAAAGGCGAAACCATGGGCGACCGCGACCGCTCCAAGTCTCCCCACGAGAGGCTCGACGAGATGAGAGACGCACTGACCGCTGTGGACCCAAAACAAAATGATGAAGAACCGCTGGCGGGACGGGATCGCTCGAGGTCTCCCCACCGCCTCGAGGGTGCTCAGATCGGCGGCCAGGGCAAGGGCAAGGGTGCGGGCAAGGACTCGATCTTGGGCAAGGGTTCGGGCCAGACTCACGAAACCCAGGACCACGTGGGCCCGTCCGACGTGCTCCCCCCGCGAATGACTCCAACAGATCAACTCCGTGCCCACGGGATCGTCGAGGGGGCGGGTTCGGGAAAGAGCTCTGGCAAAGGCTCAGGGGGCAAAGGCAACACGGACATCGATGAGAACGACCCAGCTTGCGTATTGCAGAACACCGTGCAGTCGATTCTCGACAACTGTTGCAGGGCCCAAGCTGAGCTGCAACAGGCTGAATGGGAAGGGTCGTACGGGAGAGCAGGGAGGAGGAGGATGAGGGGAAGGAGGGGGGAGGGTGAGGAGGTGGAGGAGGAGGAGGGTGGGGATGAGGGGGAGAAGGATGGAAAAGGAGGAGGAGGAGAAGGAGGGAGGGGGGAGGAGGAGGATGCTGATGCTGATGCTGATGCTGATGCTGCTGATGATGATGATGATGATGCTGATGATGATGATGATGATGATGATGATGATGATGATGATGATGGGAAGGAGGAGGAGGAAGAGGAGGGGGAGGAGGAGGAGGAGGAGGAGGAGGAGGAGTAGGAGGAGGAGGAGGACGTCGGCGACGACAAGAGGCAACGCGCTTGGTGAAGAGTGCGCTCGCACAGAACACGCAGATGGCGGGCGATATTGTGAACCTCAGGGCCCGTTGCACCACATTGGAGCTCCAGGTGTGGATGCTGAACACCGTGCTATTCAAAAAGATGATTCTGGGCAACCAGGACCTGGCCATGTTTCAGAATCTAAGTGAGGAGCCCCCAGCGAACCTCGCTAACCTGCGGACGTACAACACGTTTCCTCCCTCTCCTATTGTATGACGTTCTACTTGGGCTCGCCAGACCGCTCAGATATCGAGGACCCCAGGGCAACCCTTCGAAACGACGTTCAGAAACGAGGGGTGATGACACCATAAAGAGCTCCATGCGAGAGATCTCACAGCTCCAGAGGAGGAGGAGGAGGAGAAGGAGGAGGAGGAGGAAGAGGCAGGGGAGGTCGAACAGGGAGAGAGCAGGAGGAGGAGGAGGAGGAGGAGGATGAAGTGGATAGATGTAGGATAGATGGAGGAGAAATGGAAGCGATATAGGAGAGGAGGGCGAAGAGGAGCAGGAGGGGGCGGGGACTGGAGACGAGGAGAGAAAGGAAGGCAAAGAGGATACTTGACATGAAGCTGATGGGACGGAGCATGACGGAGAGGAGGGTGATGATGATGATGATGGTGATGATGGTGATGATGATGCTGCTGATGCTGATGGTGCTGATGCTGCTGATGCTGCTGCTGATGATGATGGTGATGATGATGATGATGATGATGATGATGAGGAAGAGGAGGAGGAGGAGGAGGAGGAGGAGGAGGAGAGGAGGAGGAGGAGGAGGAGGGAGGAGGAGGAGGAGGGAGGAGGAGGAAGGAGGAGGAGGAGGAGGAGGAGGAGGAGGAGGTGGAGGAGGAGGAGGAGGAGGATGAGGAGGAGGAGGAGGAGGAGGAGGGGGCGGGAGGCGAACCACGGGACACGATCCCCTGAAGGACGGGAGCAGGACGGAGCCCTCAGCTGCTGCAGCTTCCGCCTCGGCCCCTTCTGCGGCTGCGGCCGCCGACTGAGGGCTGAGGGCCAGGGCCTGGCTCTTCCACCCCTCCCTCTCCCTCCTCTCCTCCTCCTCCTCCTCCTTCCTCCTCCTCCTCCTCTTCCTCCTCCTTACCTCCCCCCCTTATCCTCCTCCTTCTCTTCCTCCCCGTTCCTCGTCCCCTTACCCTTTCCTGCTATCCTCTTCCTCTTGTTCTCCTCCTCCTCTCCGTCTCCTCCTCCTCCTCCTCCTCCTCCTCCTCCTCCTCCTCCTCCTCCTCCTCCTCCTCCTCCTCCTCCTCCTCCTCCTCCTCTTCCTCCTTCTCCACTGCTTTGCGAACGCTCGCCTGGCGCACTCTCTGCACGCTCGCCTGGCGCACTCTCTGCTTGGCTGCAAAGCCCCTGGCGCCTGGACCCGCTGCCAAAACAATCATGTTTCGCTTCGCGATGGGCACGGCCGGTTATATTCACACTGCTTCGCAGGTGCACGGCCGGAGTTGCTTTGCAACGGGTTCTCAGCAGGAGCCTTGGGATCCCGGGGCCCTGCATGTTTTTTTTGTTATTTGGGCATTTGTGGGTTCTTGCGAGGGGCTTCCTGGGGGCATGTTGGGGTTCTTGGGTGCTCGGGGTCACTTGGGGGCGCGTGTGTAAATTTCGGCGCGTTGACAGAGCGACGGCGCAATCGCACTCGCCTTAAGCATGCGACTTATAAACCTACCGACGCCGCGATACCGTAACAGCGACAGAACAACCACACCCACTCGACCAAACGCGACCGCGACACCACATGCGCCGACTCGACGCCGCGGCAACGCGACGGCGAGCCCGCGCACAAAATTAAGCGCGCGTTTCGCGGTTTGCAACAGAGCAACGACATACAAGATCAATGTTGCAGATCTGTCTATTCAGCCAGATCTGCAACACTGATCTTGTAAATCTCAGATCTGCGTTGCAGATCTTTGGATCCTCTGGGTACAATTAGAACACAGCGCCAAGCAACACAGTTTACGAAGAGAGCGACGAAGATGAATGGAAGCGGCCCTTCCCTTACAACAACCCAGGGGCAACGGCATGTTGTCGACGAACAGAAGTATGTGCTTCCCGAAAGCGGCCCTGGACCTCATGATGTGCTTGATGCCCAAGACACACGCGTCCCCCTCCAGAGCTAGAATGTTGTCGGGCACGACGACCCTTGATGCGATAACAGGAGCCCAGCGAGCCCCGTCGAAGAACTGCTTGGGCACCTCCATGAACTCCCTCGGGTGCACCCGGATGAAGGATTCCAGCCCCAAGACGTCCAGGCCTTGCAGTCCGGCAGGCAGCGAAGCTGTGGCGGATGCGGAGGATGGTAGAGGCTGAGGGCGGAGGGCTCTCTCGCGGGCCTTCTCGGCACCGTGCACTCTGTAACGCCACCTCTCGCACTGGCGGCCGTGCCGCGCCGCAGCGTCAGGCCGCACCGGCCGCGCGGCGACGCCGACTCCGAACTCGGAGGCGTCGCCCACTCCGACCACGTCGTGCCACGGGCTGCTCAGGTCCTTCTGAAGGAGCGGGAGCAGCGAGCGGACGAGCCACAGCTCCTGGCGCACGGAGGGCCACAGCCGCGAGGTCGTCGGCAGGCCTGCCGCCATATACGGGTACACGGAGCTCAGCACGCACAGCAGCTCGCGGCGGATCAAGCAGGCCCAAGTGATGTGGCCCACCGGCACCTCAAGCATCTTGCTGGAAGCAGCCCCGGCGTAGCACGGTGTCCAGCGCCGCACGGAGCCGCCACAGGTTGCGGCGCTTGATGGACAGCCAGCGGCCCTGCCTGAGCTCCAGGCCCACCAGCACGGCGTCGGGGGAGGCATCCGTCTCCTCGTGGACGGTCAAGCCCCACCCGCGCAAGATGGCGGACACGTCGTCCCGGCGCTGCGTGACCAGCGAGGCGTCGTGGCCGAAGACGTAGAAGTTGTCCACGTAGCCCGCCGCCGCCGTGTCTGAGCGGTCGGGCAGGGCCACGCTGGTACGACCGTCCTCCACAATCTGCGAGTCCGCGAAGCCCGCCAGAGAGATGGCGCGCATGGTCACGGCCTGGCAGAAGTGCATCGCCCACGACCACCCCATGGGCAGGATGGTAAGGCAGGGAACCAAGCTGGACCCTGCCGGAATGCTCACCCCCTCCAACTCCGTGATGCCCGCGAGGGACGAGGAGAGCGGGGGCAGCGTGGAGTAGTCCTCTAAGCCCGGCATGGGCCTGAGACGGTAGAAGGCATTGTCGAGGTCGCCAGCCGCCACGCACAGGGGCAGACCACCCGACTCCACTGAAGACACCGCGGCCGCCGTGGGCAGCCGCGTCGCGGGCGCCGGGTGGAAGTAGGCGTTGGCGTACCTCGTGTCGAACACTATGCGAAGCTTGCCGGACTTCTTCCTCGCAAAAAAATACACCAATCATGTGCTTGGCAGTGGAGGCCACCTTGAAGCGCAACATTCCACATTGATGAAGCCGCCGAACAAAATCACCATACAAAACTGGATCTCGCGCCAACCGAGGGTCAACGAAAGGTCCGCGAGGGCAAGCTTGTCGGGCCTCCAGCAGCGCCACGTCGGGCGTCTTGAGCAAGTTATGTCGCCAATCCCGTGCCCAGTCAGCATCATCCTGAGTGAGGCAGCCCACAAGATCCACGGGGCTGGAACCCACCTCAGGCCAGGAGACCAGCTCCTTAGAGTACGGGACCCGTGCGCCACCATCCTCAGCGTAGACGGTGGAGCCACTGAGAAGCTCGCGGAGGGCTTCTTCACAAAAACCTGGCTCGCTCGGCATCGCGCCCATGCCCAGGTAGCAGTCCTCCAGAAAGTTCAGGCTCGTCTGCTGCCCCAGGTTCGCGGGCGCCGAAGGAGGTGAACCAGCATGGCCATACAGGCAGTTCAGCGCGTCAATGCCGTGGTCGGCCCACTGCAGCAGCACGTCGGAGCGGCGGAGCCGCTGGCGCACGGCCCTGCAAGGGCGGCGGCCGGGCACGCGCTCAGTCCGTCGGGCCACGTGAGGAAGCGGAAAAAGATCCCGATGGCGTAGATCATCGGCGGCGGCACTGGGGCCGCGAAAAAGGGCCTGGTGCTCGAGCTTCGGGGCGGCGGGTGGCCCCCAGTCCCGCCGCCCGCTCAACGTCACCCCTTGCCTTCCTCCTTGTCCTTGTCCTTGCCGCCCTTCTTGTCCTTGTTGTTGGGCGCCCTGGCGCTCTGGCGCTCCTCGCGAGCCTTGCGCCTCTCCTTGGCCACGGCATACTCCTTCGAGAGCTCACCGCTGACATAGGCAAGCAGCTGCGGGTGGACACACACGTTGCCCCGGTTGGCCGAGGTGCCGTAGAACAGGTGAGAGTCGAGGGACTCGTCGGCATTGGTAATGAACCGCTCCCGCCACCTCTCCTCCTGCACCTGGATGCTCCTGCAGACCATCTCCGCCGCCGCCACGTCCGGCACATTGAGAAGGTCGTAGCACACCACCTGCTCTAGGTAGAAACAGCAGCGCTCGTGCTCGGCGACCCCCGCGTCAGTCAAAGCCAGGCGCCCCTCCGAACGCCACTTGCTGTGGCGACCCAGCGGGGACATGCCGTTGTCCTTCATGAACAGGCACACCCACAACGTGGTCCGCGGCCCCGAGATCGGCCAGTCCGGCCAGTCGTGCTCCACGAGCCGCAGCACCGCCTCGGAGAAGCCGAGCTTCCTCTGGCAGAGGGCGTTGTACGCCACAGGCAGCACACGGGCGTCCGCCAGAGCGCCAGGCGCAGCAGCGTGGGCCGCAGCACCTGGAAGCGCCGGCGCGGGCGCCGGTGCGGGCGCCGGGGCTGGGGCCGCGGCGCCGCCAGGCAAGGGGGGCACGAGTGCTCCGGGCGCCCCCGCGGGGCCCCCCAGTGCAGCCACCAGCCCGGCGACGCCCGCAGGGGGGGCGGCGGCCGGGGCTGCAGCGGCAGGCAGCAGCGCACCCGCTGCCGCCACCGCCGGCGCTGCCAGCGGTCGCCCACCTGCGTTGGCCACGATGGGCCCAGGCGGGGCAGCAAGACCGAGACGGCCGGCAGCCGCGGCTGCGGCGGTGAGCAGCGTGGCCGGGGTGGGCAGGCTACGGAACCTGTAGTAGCGGGCGCCAGGCGCCCAGGCCATCGTGCCTCCCGCCGCGCCGCCAGGGAAGACGTCCCACCGCAGCACGTCCGGCGACCCCACGTGCAGCTCGTCGTACTCGTCCGCGTCGGGCGTGATGATGCACGCCGCGCCAGGCAGCCCCGGCGGCGCCAGCACCACCACGCGCTCGTGGATCAGGGCCCCGCCCGCCACGTGGTACTGCACCCCGATGAAGTCGCCGGGCTGGACCCCCGCCGCGGCCACTGACGGATGCACCGGCGGCGCCGGCGCCGCCATCACTGCTGCAGCGCCTTGGCGCGCGCCACGCGCGCCTGAGCCCGGGCCTCCTCCTCGAAGTCAGGCTCCCTGCCACCGCCGACCTGCGGACGATGGGCCGCCACGAAGCGCCCACCAGCACGCCAGAAGGCCAGCGCGGCGGTGGAGGCCCCAACCAGCCCGCTGGCGGCGCAGGCCAGCGCCACGGCCCAGAGGCTGGGCCCGTGACTGCTAGAGCCCTGAAGGCCTGAGCAGTCGCACCGCAGCTCAGGGCAGTGGAACTGCGGCGCGCACGAGCACGCAGGGCACTGCGCGTGCCCCTGGTTCGCCGCGTACAGCGCCACGCCGGTGCTCAGCCCGCGACCCAACTCTGGCAGCAGGAGATCGGCCGCCGCGCGAGCGGCTGAAAGCATACGGGCGGAGTTCGCTCGAGGCTAGAGCGAGATGGCAACGGATGACCATCAAGTGCGGCAACTTCGCCGTGGTACGCAGCATACACTTGTTAAAAGGATCATATGTATATATATATATGAATCTGAAACAAAAAACACGGCACGATGGTGCACACGGCCGCACTCGCCCCAGTCGCACGGCCACGGCACCTGGTTCAAAGATACACTACGGCGCACATGGCCGTGCTCTCGCAGCAACGCTCCCTGGTAGCAAAGCCCCCGCAGTTCACGTGGCCGTGCTCTCGTCCCTGTCACACGGCCACGGCTCCCTGTGGAAATGCACTACGGCGCACGTGGCCGTGCCCTCACCCATGTCACACGACCACTACCCCTTCTAGAAATCATTACGGAGCACATGGCCGTGCCCTCACCCCTGTCGCACGGCCACGATCCCTTGTAAGCAAAGATTTCCTGGCGAAGGACCCAACCACATGCAGATGTGAGTGCCGCGTTGTGGGCACTGCTTTTGGTGGAGCTCCTTCTAAGGGCACAAGTGTGCCCCGGACCCTTTGAATTCGCGAGTACGGCAAAAAGAAGGGATTAGCCTCCAGGAAGAGAACCAGACCCCCTCCCTCATAAACGTGAACAGCGTACGCCGAGCCTCTTACGGCATCCGAAAGTTTTCCCTGGGGAGCTGGCCTGCTGGAGAAAATCCACAGCCCCCCATCATTGCTGATAAAAACGGATGACGAGCTTCTTAGGACATCTGAAGATCTTCTTCGGTGGGCTGAAGATTTTCTTTGGGGGTTGAAGAGCTCCGTGAGGGCTAAAGAGTTTCTGGGGCCTCCATGGGGCTTTTTGCGGCCTCTATAATAATTATGAAAACTTCCGGAGGTTTCTTGGGGCCTCTGGGGAGTTTCTTGCGGCCTCTCTATAAGGTCTTGCGGCTCGGTTTGATGGTGATGACGATGATGGTGGTGATGAGGATGGTGATGACGATGACGATGACGATGACGATGATGATGATGATGATGATGATGATGATGATGATGATGATCATGATGATGATGATGATGATGGTGATGGTGATGGCGATGGTGATGGTGGTGGTGATGATGATTGTGGTGATGGTGATGGTGATGCTGATGTTGGTGCTGATGCTGATGATGACGATGATGACGATGACGGCGATGATGACGATCGATGCGGATGAGAATGGGGAGCGGGACGAGGATGATAATGCGGATGAAGATGACGATGGTGATGGTGACAGTGATGGTGATGGTGACAGTGATGGTGATGGTGATGGTGATGATGATGATGATGATGATGATGATGATGATGATGGCGACGATGACGATGACGATGACGATGATGATGATGATGATGATGATGACGATGATGATGTTCATGATGGCGACTATGGTGATGATCATGATCATGATGATTGTGGCTGCGATTATGCTAACAATGGTGATGATGATGACCATGATGATGGGATTGATGATGATGACGACGATGATGGTGATGTGCGCGTGTATGAAAGTCGCGGGAGTGAGCGCAGGTGGGAGGAAAGGTTGAGGTACTCTTGCTCTCGCTCGGGTGCTCGAGCCAAGCCGGTGGCGAATGGCAAGTCAAACGCAACGCTTGGGGGCCAACGTGGTTCGACTCTGCTGCGTCCCGCGCTGCCGCTATGCTTCATGCTACTACTATTCAAGGCTATGTACTTCACCGCGCCTCCTCGGGGCGCGGCGCGGGACAGTCGCCGAGCACTGCCTGCTTTCACTGCGCTAGCCTGAACCCTGGGTGCGGGGCGCCTTCCGCTGCCCAGGCCACGGCGTCAGAAGGCTCATCGGCTGGAGCGGCGCGCCGCGCCTCCTAGGAAGACCTCCAAAGGCTGATCCATCGCACCGCGATGGGGTCTCATGAAACCTCATGCGTGGACTGCATGCTGATCGCGCCCTCGAGACTCATCCGCTGTCGCGGCATGGAGACGCAGACGCGGGTGCCGTCGCGGGACGTCCGCTGACCAGCGAGCCAGACGCGGGGCTAACGGCAGCCTGGGTGACAGCCGCATCAGCCATGGCTGCGTTCAGGCACGTAAGGCTCACGATGCTGTGTATCGTCGCTTCTTGCTCCTACGCTCGGCGCCATCCTCCTCGTCGCGCCGCCGCAGGCGGCCGCGGGCATCCACTTGCTCCTGGGCCCTGCGCGGTCGACGCGCCCGGTCCCAGAGGCGCACCAGCCCCCCAGGCCAGAAGAGCGACGAGCATGCAGTTGAAGAGCTTAGAGCCCTGGCACTGCAGTCTCACCGTGCACGTCAGCTCCTCCTACGCCTCCTGGGCGGCCCGCGCTGCAGGGGTCGCTCCAAAGGCCGCCAGCGCCGCCAGGGATCGGCGGCAGGCGCGCTTAGCTCATGAGCTCCTGGTGCTTCCTCGGCCCCGATGCCGTCGTCTCCGGGTCGGCGACGTTGGTCTCGCAGGCGTCCTGGACCTAGAGCCCTCGTGTCGCGACATGGCGGGTCTTCCCCACGCCGGTCCTCGCGCTGATGTCGATGGCGGCGGTGGCATCGCTGCCGACGGTCACCGACCATGCCGCTCTGGTACCGCGCAGATCCGCGATCGCCCTGAAAAACCCCTGGGCCATGATGCCCCTGGCCACTCCGTCGACGATGCCGCGAAGCTCGGCCTCCGCGCCGGAGAGGGCACGGAGCTGGTCCGCCACGACCCCAAGACTCGATCGGATGCGAGCCCACAAACTCGCAACCCGCGTGGGTCGAGTAATGGTCTGGCTCCTCCGCCCAGTTACTGCCGACTGGCTTCCAGGAGCCACCTGTCTCTGGCTCGTGCTTGAAGACGAGCGCCAGAAAGGGCAGCCTGCGAGGTACCGCGCGCAGCGGTCCAGCCTTGCGTTGCCTAGCCTACGAGGCGTGGACATATGCTCGCCCAGCTCCCTGGCCAAGCCATGGATGTCGAAGCGCCCGGGCGACGCGTAGAGTACGCGACCGGTGTCGCTGCATACTTGGTCTGCGCCTCGCCGTCGAGCTCGTCCAAAGTCGCCGGATCGTCTCTGCCGATTTGCTTGCTGCAGGGGCTCCCCTGGGGTTCCGCCCTGAGTTTTCCCGGCCTCTCCAGCAACATCATGACATGTTTCGGGTCCTCGTTCCACTCGCAGCCAGACCTGGGCAAGTAGCATATGAAATGCATAAGTAACGACCCATCAAGACGAAGCCAGGCCCGACGCGAGGGGGGACCTTGATGTTGCAGAGCCCGCTGATCATGGTGTCAAGGTGGTCGACGCCCTCGTTCCCCGCCCCGGCCATGATGTCATCGCCCCACAGACCGGCCAAAGAGTCGCATTGCCTCGCATAGAAGATCTGGGGGCTGGTCTTTAATACCTGGTAGCCGCACTGCTCGAAGACCTTCACCGTGAATTCGAGGAACAACTAACAACTGGGGCGCACGACGCGTGCCGCGTGCCATACATCGCCTTCAGCATCTGCAGCGCCATCCCTGGGGCCTCCTCGCCCCGAGGCGGGATCGCCGCGATCGGCTCGCCCAGCAGCAAACCGGCGCGCCAGAACGCTGCGGCGATGTCGTAGAACCCGAGTACCCTGATCCAGTCGTTGGTACCAGGGCGTCTTATGGAAGCAACTCGTGGGACGATCAACTTGATGAACTTCAACGGTGGCGTCGCCGCGCGCGTGTCCCGGTCGTGCATGTTGAGCTCCATGGCCACGCATCGCGATTGGGCGGTGGTCTCGCAATCCTGCGCGCTTCTCGTCGAGCAACATGCAGCGCGCCTCCTTGCCCCTAACGTCCTTCGTCGGCGCGCGCACGTAGAGGCCCCTGTCTGGCATGTTCTGACGCCCCCGCGCGCGGCCCGCGCGCGCGAGCTCGGGGTCGTGCACCTCGCCGGTCTTGTGGTCCTTGACGTCGCGCGCGCCGATGTCTGGCGTCGCCGCGTAGGCCGCCAGCGCTGCGCCTCCGCAAGGGGCGGCCGACCGCGCGCGCGCAGAGCGCCGATCACACGTCTCTGCGAAGATGCGGGTTCACCGGCATCAGCGCCACCACTCTCGAAGAGCTCGACCTTCTCCTGGAAGCTCAGGTCCTCCCGCTCGCGCTTCGCCGCGATGCTCGCGGCCTCTATTTCCGCCTCCGCGGCGGGGCATTGGGCTTCTGTCTGGGCCCAGCCCGGGTGAAGCGGCTGGGGCCCCATCCTCCGCCAGGGGCTGCCATCTCGACTTCGGGGGCGGCTCCGGCATGCGCGGGGGGGCCCGGTGGGGCTTCGGGACGAAGTCCGCCTGCCGAGGGCTGCGGGACCTGCGCGGAGGCCGCCGGCGCCGCGGCACAACTGCTCGCTTGTGCCTCGCCCTCCTTTCTCCAGATCTCCATGGGAAGCGAGCCTTGCAATCGTCGCCGCGCCCGGCGCAGCTGGGGCATTCCGGGGCGAGGCCGCGCCTGTCGAGGTAGGCCAAGCAGGCCCGCGCGATTGGCCGGGCCGCTGGGGTCTGGGCGCCCAGGCGCGGAAGCCGCGGGGTGCACGGCACCTCGTTCCGCATCTCCGTGCCCCACCGCCTGCCCTGGGCTTTGCGGCGGACAGATCTGGCTAGGCGCACCTCGCTGCCCAGCGCGATGATGCGCTCGTCCGTCTTCCAGCTCGTGCCCGACCAGACGCGCGCGGACCAGCGCTCGTCCAGGGGCGAGAGATGCGAGGCATCGGGGGTCTGATGCCACAGGCACTTCCCGAAGAAGGCAATCTTGCCATTGCATGGCCAGCCCTTCAACCTCTCGCAGGCCGCCCTGCCGTCCGCGCGCGCGGCGCGCGCGCGCGTGCACCAGCCGCAATGCTGCGTGAACCGGGGCACCGGCGGGTGGCCAGTGTGAAGCTCGACCTTGGCCTCGTCCCTCCGGTGCATCACCGCCGTCCTCAGCAGGTTCTTCACCTCGTTGCTCATGTTCTCGACGGCGCCCACGGGCTTTGGGGAGTGCTGGGGCTTCATCTCCAGAACTGAAGGGTCCGCGCGCCCGATGCGGATCGCCTCCGTCAGGGCCTTATTGGCGGGCTCGCCGTCGACCCTCAAAATTATGACCTTCCGACTCCAGTGACCGAGGTGCATCGCGATCTCGACTGGGCCCTTCCCGTGCACCAGCGGCAGTGCCATCCCGAGCTCCTGGTCGCACGCGTTTGAAATCGTCATCATATCGGATGGGGGGTCGGTCACGAACGTATAATCCATCATCACAGTCGGCTTCAGAAGCACGGCAGCGGGCGCGCGCGCCCGGCGGCGGGGGTCGCCAGGGGCCGCAGCCCGCGCGCAGCAACAGCGCCGCGACCTCGACGGGATGCAGGTCAAGTAGTGCTCCTCCTTCTCGTGATCCGAGAAGCCGATGGGGACCTTCGCGGATCTACGGAGCTCTGCCTCCTCAGAGGCGCCCAGGGGGGCCGGGGTGCGTCGCGGCGCCTATCCTTGGGGCCCGCCGGAGGCGCAGGGGCCGCTGCAGGTACTGCGTCCTCCGCTGCGGGGCCCGCCGCAGGCGCGCGCTGCGCCACCTTCGCAATCGCGGACCAACGCAGACGCGGGCCCTCCTACCTCGATGGCCGCCGGGGCGCGCGCTGCGCGGATCCCCCGGTCCCCCCGCCGAAACCTGGACCAAGGCACATCCGGATGTATGGCGAGGTCGCCGCAGCCTCCACTAGCTGCGCGGAGCGTCTCGCGCTCCGGAGCGACGACGACAGTCGCCCCTCCGCGTCGCAGGGCGGAAGCCGATGGGGCCAGGCAGTCGACGTTCGCCGCGTTCCACGCGATGGCCAGCTCCTCCCCGTTGTCCAGCACGTAGGTGGTATTCTTGGCACTGTAGTTTATGATGGGCTCACTAGTGGCACTCGCCATGGGGCGAAGATCCCTGCGAGGAAGCAGCGCGGGGACATCAGGGGCATGGTCAACAGGGCGCGCCACGACCCCCGAGCCCAGCAGGGCGAGCTCAACGCCGCCAGGGCCTACCGCAGCAACTGCGCCGGCAGGCTGGATCACGTGGATCGTCAACGGGTCGCCCACGGCTCGTCCGGAGGACGTTGCGCCGGAGCCCCGAGGAAAAACTGCCAGTGGTACGCGTAGAGCTGGCGGCGCGGGGCCTAGACCCACGACGACGATGCCTGGGGGGGGAATGGAATGGATGCCGCGCGCCGGAGGCGCCCCCCCCTGAGCCGGGTACCTCATGGGCTGGAAGAGCGCCGGGCACGCCGCGTTCATCGGCATCGGCGCGCCTGGCGCGAACAGGGCCACCTGCGCGCTGGCGCTGCTGCCTCCCGCTGCCCCCGCCGCTGCTCCTTTTGTTCCTCCTCGGGCCTCGTCTGTCACGCAGCGGGCTCCTGCTCCGGGCGGTGGCTGGCCGCTCGCGTCCACCTTCCCGGCCTTGATGTCGGCGTTGGGTTTCCTGCAGTCTTGCTTGATGTGGCTGAGCTTCCCGCAGTAGTGGCACTCCTTGCCCTGGAGTTGGAGTTGCCATTGGTCTGGGCTTTGCATTTGGGGTCCTCTCCTTTCCCCTTGGGGCCCTCCCCCTTGCCCCTGGACGTCTTGCCCTTGCCGTCCTGGACGGCTCCGACGACCGTGGTCGTCGACGCCCCAGGCCCGCGTCCGCGCGGCAACGGCGAAGTTCAGGATCTCCGATCGCAGCTTCTGGAACGCGCGCGCCCAAACGGGAGGCGTTGAGGAGGAGATGATGCCGGACCTTCACGTTCTGCATGCCGCCCACCAGCGTTGAAATCTTGACGTCCGGGTCCAGCGCCTTCCCGCTCTGCCCCTCGCAGCGCCTGACGCCCCGCTCGAAGCTCTCGATCACATTCGCGAGGTCGCCGTTCGGATCCTCGCCAAACTCGCGGCGCAGAAGTGCATGAAACACTGCGGCGTGGCGCGCTCGCTTGTCCGGCTCGTACTCCCAGCACAGCCGCCTCCAGGCCTCGGCGCCGTCGCCCTCCTCCACGCTGTGTAACAAAATGTGAGTGTCGTCCGTCGTCGTCATCGCCAACGCGTAGGCTGGCGGCTGCAAGGCGGCCGCGGCCTCGTCGAGATCGCGACCGTCCACGACCCGGGCTCCCATCGCCTCCGCGCGCTTGAAAAGCTCTGCCACGTTGGCGTGCGCAGCGCAGGCGAAGGCATGGAAAACGAAGCAGAACCCCCGCCACGCCTCGCGACGACCTGAGAAGCTCGCCGGTTTCCC